AGGCGTTCGTCACTTCTTTTATTTGTCTTCAATGTGGGGAAGACCGGCTTTTTTGGTTGGTGGGAAAATGACCTGCGAGCAACGTTTGCATTGCATGATGATGATAAGCATATCATTAATTAAATTATAAAATAATAATGGCGTTAATTTATATTATTTCATCATCCACTATTTCATCAGCACCTATTAGTCATTGTTAAAGAACATATGCTATTTTTTTTTTTTTTGAACATATTTGTAAGGGGCGGATTTCGAACCCAGCCCGAGGAGGGAGGTATGCACCGGGGTGGCTATTGCCACTAGGCCGCAAGGGTCAGGTGCGAACATATGCTATTTAATATATATATATATGTATATTTTTTAATTTCCCATCATACTAGCTTTTGAATTGACACTGATATACACCTCTTCTTGACCAATGTTTCATTGTGTCTACCTAAAAAAAAATTCTAACTGCGGCTTTGCATATAGAAGGGTTTGGTATGGTTCCACTGAAACATCAACCTAACAGAATTGCTAGGTGCAATTTGACACAAACACTCAGCCTTTGATTGGTGCATGTGTATTTTTTTTTTTTTAATAACTCTTAACTTAATAGTTATTGTATATTTGGTTTGAAAGAAATTAAAAAAAAAGAAAGAAAAATAATAAATTTTTTAACTAATCAATTATAATATTTTTAAATATTATAATATAATTAGTCAAAGTATGCATCCCTCCGCTCCCTCCGTCCTCTTTATCTTTTCTCAAACCAAACATATCCTTAGGAGATGGAAAAATATAACTTATGATGATGGTTATAAAATGGACATTTTTCCGGGCCAGATTAAAGACCACCATATAAAGCTGGAAAACACTACAGATAAAAGCCCACTTTCTTTTTAAAGACATTACAAATGGGCTTTTATTAGGCTTACAATCAAAGAATAATTGGGCTGGATCTATTAAAAAAGACCCAAGCCCACTTTTTGGATGAAGAAGACGTCATGTCAGTGGATCACCCGAGGCTCTTTGCATGACCCAACGCACAATGGTGTTACAGCCCATAAGGCTTGTGCATTTATTATGTTGCATGGAAATCAGAGACCATATAATGGGCCAGCCCATACCAGGCAGACCCAAGCCAAACAAAAAGGCAGCCCATTAGTTGAAGCAATTTCGAGGTTTTTTTTTCTTTTTTTTAATGAAAAATCGAAAATGTAGCACAAAAAATGCTTAATGAAAAACGAGACAGAAGAAAAACTAAGATCAACATGCATTTGACCCTTACCCCAAACCCCTTTAGTATATCACAACTGATTTTCCCTCAATTTGATGGAAGGTTTTATGTTGGTATGCAGATTAATTACATGGGGCATGAAAGTTTTTTTTTTTTTTTTTTTTTTTTTTCTTTTAGGTGCAAATAGAAAATTATTTAAACTAATTAAGTTTTATAAAATATGATCCGATACTCAATATAATTATTTCAATCATGAAAAAATATAAAAAAGAAATAAAATTTTTTTTTTTATGAAAGTATCATACTTAACAAGTGTATCGGTTACTTTGTTTATTTCATAATAAGTATGCTTAATAAATACAAATTTTAAATGTTTGGATTAATGATTCACATGAAGTAACTAAGAATTTGTGAGATCTATTAGTTATATGAGCATCATTAAAAGTATTAACAACTAAAAATGAGTCAATTTCGACTTCAATTCTCACAAAACCCATGCTAGTAGCCATTTCAAGTCCAGTTTCTTTGCAAACCAAGCAAGCCATTTGCCCCTCATGATCTCTTAATTAATAATGCTTCCAACACCAGTGAGAGGTTGTGTTTTGCAATGAAGGAACCATCAGTATTAAGCTTGATCCAATCAGTTTGAGGAGGAAGCCATTAAACAGGACAAAAATTGAAGGGGATGGTGCACCTTGGGTGGGATTGACAGGCATGAAAGTCTTGAGCATAAAAGCAACTAGTGAGACATTCCAAAAATTAACGACTAAGCCTTCTTTGTTTCCACTTTCAAATATTCTCAACAAATATCCCTCATTGGCAATACAACGAACAGTTAAACATCAACTCCATGTTTTTTGAATACTAATTTCATCCTTGTTAAATGAAGAAAATATGAACCAACGCGCTTTTTAAATGTAGTTACATTATAACAGCATGTAACTCCTATTTGTGAACTTAAAGAAAAACTTGTATTAAGTATCAATTAACAAGTAAAAATAGAGAAAAATTAGGGGTAATTGTTTTTTATCTCATAATTCCTTCTACTTGCATATTATATTCTTCAAACTTAAAATATTTATTTTTAATTAAAAGTAAATTGATATTAAATTATTAACATTATTAAAAAAATTTAAAAATAATAATTATAACTATAATATTGTCAATATTTTGTTTTGGTAATACGCCAATCAACTTAGGCTAGGTAAGTTGAATTGATCTTACCCATGATATCTTAGAACTTAGGATCTGTTTGGTATAATGATTAAAATTTAGTGGGTGGTGAGTAATAGGTAATAGATAATGAATAACAATAGTGGGTAGTGGTGACAATTAACAGATAATGGATGACGAATAGTAAAAAGT